AAGGTATGTGTTCTTAGAAAATATAATATACTAAAGCAACCTTAGAAGAAATAGAAGATCCGAACAGGCCAGTTGCAATCAAAGACATAAAGCTGTCAACAAACCACCGCTCCCCCTGCCCAAAATCAATTTCACAGGTAAATTTTAAGAACAGATAACTCCAAAGCATTTAAAACTGTTTCAGAACATAGAAAAATAAGGGAATATTCTATCTTGGGGTGGAGCGGCGATCCGAATATTTGATCGTGAAACCCAGAATTGATTACCAATAAGAAAACCACATTATTTTATTCTTTTATGCTGAATCCTAAATAAAATAGGAGCAAACAGAATGCAGCAGCACATTAAAGGACTAAATAATTCACTACAGCAAAATAGAAACGAGCATAAAAAATATTTGAAATTTTAAAATCTTTAAACATAATTCAGCATAGAAACAAACAGCATATATGCATTTAAATAGATGTGGAAAAGGCATTTTATTACAGTAACATCCATTTTGATGTATTAAATTTTTTAATAGAAAGAAGAGATGGTTCCTTACCTAACATGATAAACATATCTAAGTTATATTATCTTGCTTTTCAGAGAAAACATTATCTGCCTTCTCTTTGAAGTTAGCAACATTTTAGAAAAATGTCCATTTTTACTACTATTATTTTATATTGTTCTGGAGGAATTAGACAATGCATTTAACAAGAGAAATAAATTTGAAAGAATTAAAATTATCATCAAATTAGATAAATGAAAGTACCCAAGGATTTGTTTATAAAATTAAATATATTTATAAAAATAAACAAGAGAAATCAATTGTCTTCACACTCACTCACATAGTGGAAGACCCCCATTTACAACAGCAACAAAAGATATAAAATAATTGAGAAATAAATTTAAGAGGAAATTACAAGATCAATAATAAGAAAACTTTAACTATTGCTGACCGACCCATGGAGAGGAAGGCCTATCAGTTTTCTTTACATGTTGGCCTGGGTGTTTAATATAATGCCAATAAAAATTAACATACAATTTTGTTCAAACTAGATAAATAGCTTCTAAAGTTTATGTGAAAAGTAACCAAGCACTAGTAGCCAGGAAAGTTCAGAAAAGAATAACAAGAAAGACATAAGCCTTCTGGATTTTAAAGCCTATTACAAGCTACAATAAGTAAAATGTTATAGTATGAACAGGATAGAAAATCCAGAAGTGGGCACAAATATTTAAGCATTTAGTAAAACTGGCATTTCAAGTCAATGAAGAAAAGATAGATCATTCAATAGACAGTACTGGGACATCTGGATAGACATCTGAAAAAAATAGAGTGTAATCCACACCTCACATCTTACAACTGGATAATTTCCAGGTGGTTCCAAAATTTAAATAGGAAAAATAATAAAATCATAAAAGTCCTTGAAGAAACCACATGAGAATTTTCTTTTATAGTCTTGGCACAAGGGAGACCTTTCTTGGAATCACAGAAAATGTAAAGGATTAGTAAATTTAACTACTTTGAAATTTAAAGTTTCTGTGTAACTAAGACCACCAGAGTGGAAAAAATCCAAATTATCACAAGATGCTAATTTCCCTAATATATGATGATCATGCGAGCCAATAGAAAGGCCACCACAAAAGGAAAAAGGGGAAAGGGTATGAATAAAAAATTCACAGTAAGGAAATGTACATGAATATTATATATAATACATATAATATTCAATCTTTTTCATATTTAAAGAAATGCTAATTAATACTACAATAGTATATCATTTTTACCTATCATGTTGGCAAAGATCAAATGAAGATTGGGGGTGGAATCACTTTCAGATATTTTTAGAGAGCTGTAAATTTTCACAACTACTTTTGAGGGCAATTTATAATGTTTATGATATTATAAATGCATATATTCTTTGACTCAGAGATTCCACTTCTAGGAACTTACCCTAAAGATAAACTCATACATGTGTAAGATAACATGTGTATGAAACTATTTAGTTCAGTATTGTTCAAAAATAGAAAATAGTTGGAAATAGCATAGTGGCTCATCAGTAGAGGACTGGCTAAATAAATCTACATAATGGAATATTATACAGCTGTCAAAGTAAAGAGGCAGATCTATGCCTATGGCTATGGGGAAAAACTTCCAAGATTTATTGTTAAATTAAATAAGCAAAATAGGGAGCTGTGTACATAATGTTCTACTATTTGTGTGAAATCATGGAGAAAATTTTTAAATAAATATTTGCTTCTATGTGTACAAAATATCTCTGAAAACCTACAGAAGAAATCAAGAGCTTTGGCTGTTGGAATGAAATTACATGACTGAGTATAGGAGTAGGATGGAAATCTTTATTAAAAATGTTTTAAATTTGAAAACATTTAAATAGGCAAGAGAGAATGAGAGAGAAAGAGAGAGAGAGAGAGAGAGAGGGAGAGACTAGTACATATCCAGGATCCTTTATCCACAGTTCTAAAATCCATGAACTTCTGAAAACTCTTTTTCCCCATGAATTTGGCATTAAAACCCATTTGAGGCAAATCTTGAAGTGAACTGAACTGGGATTTTTTTTTTATAGTCTTAAAAAAAATCTGAATTTTGAAACACAGTTACTCCCAAAGGTTTCTGTGTAATATGTAACAAATACCATGTACTCACCTACATTTATAATCATTCATTTTGCCATATTTGTGCTCTCTCTCTCTCACTCTTTCTCTTCCTCTGCTGAAGTATTTTACAGTAGATTGTAGACATCATGACATACCACCCTTGAACACTTCAGTTCCCATCTCTAAAAAACAAGGACATTTTCCTATGGAATTGCAACACCATTATCAAGCTCAATAGAAGAGAAAAATCGAAGGGAGATTTTTCAATGTATTCTCTTTTGTACTTTTTGTATTTTGAATCTGTGGCTGTATAACTCATTCACTAGATAATACAATTTTAAATTGAAAGTAAACTAGATGAAATATTTAATACATGAAATTGACCACAAAGCTACACGATTTGTCAAGGTATCATTAAAGGACAGGAAAGAAGGATTCACAAATACCAGATTAAAAGTAGAGATTGGAAGAAAAAAATCATTTCATTTCAGTGCCCAACTAAGTTGGGGCTGGTGTGTGTAGGGCTTTCATCGAGTCAGTACTGACAGAAGCATGGTATGCGTGAAAAGGCACTCCAGATCCAACACTAATGTCTATATTGCCTTGAAGTAAAATTTTGTTCTTTCCGTCATAGAGAGTCTAATGTAATCAGCTTGCCACCAGGTGACTGACTGTTCCCACTGGGATATTACACCATATATAGGGTTAAGGATTAATTGCAGCCCTTGCAAATTGAACCCTCAACAGTTGTGGTGTCTGGATTAGTTTTAGTGAAAGAGATTTTTTCTTTTGAGCTTATACACCTCCTGCATCATAGTATTCATGATCACCATGTTCAAAAGCTTCTTGAGCAAACGCTGAGACTGCTGGAAAAAGAAAGTTGCTGATCCATAGGGCAGATCAGCTTACCCACTTGCTTACTGAAACCTCTTATATGGTGGGTTAGTGAAGATTTTTATGGGACACAAATATATTTACACTGAACCTATCCACATACCAGCTAGTTCCCTCAATCTCTTTGTTACCAATTCTCCAAATCTTTTTCTTCTTCCTCTCTTCCTCCTCCTCCCTAACCTCCTCCGCCTCCTTCTTCTTTTTGAGCTTATAACATACAGTACAGCCAGTATCCCATTGCACCTGTTTCCAGATTCAGGTGACCCCCAATCTTTTCAGCTAGCCATGCAGTCAGCATTTCTTTTTGTCTCTGAGCTGAGTGGCGTTTTACATATTCTCGGTAGCCATTCCCAAATCTAAGTTTAAAAAAAATCCCTTCTGTCCCAGGCACTCATCCAAGTACTGCTATAGGGGAATCTTTCTCCAAACACAGGCAAGTGGGAGCCAGTCTTTCTCAGAGCTGTTTAACTACAGGGAAGTCCAATGTGCTGTCTCCTTGACCCTAGGGTAGAACCCACCTGAGTCCTATAGTTGACCTACTTAACAGACACACATAAACCAGGTAGAGAGCCTAATCAACTGTCAGTGAGATATCTCAGAGTTTCATACGAATATAAAACCTCTGTTTATTTGTCACAGATGGGCATCCAAAATGGAAGAGAATAACATATTTAAATAGTCTATTCAAGTCAAAGAGAAGTTGAGCACTTATTCCCATTATATAGTTTTTAGGAAAGTTTGTACTGAGGACTTTGCAAGTGAGGTATGTTGGAGAAAGTAAACAAGATTTTGGGCAGATTTTCTGTTGGTGCTCTTAATGATTACACAGTTATTGTATATTTGGAAGGAGCTGAAGAATGGGATGAAGCTCAAGTTTATTTCATGCCCTCAGATGGCTAGGCTGAGGGAAACAACTAAAGAAATTTACAGAGCTACAGTTTTGGAGTTAAAACACATCATGGAACTTCCATTAACATGCAAGCTTTCTTACTGCTGTGACAAAATAAATAGTGAGGTTCTGTTAAAACAAAACAAAACATAGTTTAATCTATGAAATACCACCACTCTGGGTAGCATAATAAAATTGATGAATGACTAACAGTACTTTAATTATGCTCTTTTGTACCAATAAATCTGATTTAATTGGTTTTGGGCTAATTTTGTATTATTATTATTAAAAATCTAGACAACTCCTGTAGCAAAAAAAAAAAAGGAGGAGGAGGATAAGAAGGAGAAGGAGGAGAAGAAGAAGAAGGAGGAGAAGAAAGAGTGAAAGAAAGAAGAAGGAAGGAAAGAAGGAAAGACATTGATCAACACGTAAGGGCCTGGACAAATAAATTGGTAGGCAGATGCTTGTACTGTTATGCAGCCACTAAATGAGCATGATAGATAAAGATGTCTGAGATACGAGATGTGAAAATGTTAAACATAAGTGATGGAGAAAAAGGTAAATGCAAAATAATCTGTCTAATCTATCTGTGTTTATGTGTGTGAGAGAGAGACAGAGGGAGAGAGACCAGAATTATACACACAAATTCCAAGCTCACAGTGACAACGGTTATCTCAGAGAGGTGGAACTAAGGAGGGACAGGGTGCGATTTCATTTTTTAAATTAATTTTGGTATTATCTGAGGTTTTTTTTTAAAAAAAAAACCATAGAGCATGTATTAATTTTTAAATGTTTTTAAAATAAGCATTTCCAATAATTAATGGTCTTATGTTTCATCAGTGTTTTCAATTTAGAACCTGTCTGGGCCCACACACGCAGGAAACTCTGGTTATGCGATTCACCGTTGAGACCAGACTGGATGCCCAGGAAACTGGGGGCTGGCTCCAAGGTGAGGCACGCGCAGGAGGTAGGAAACGAGAGCCGGCATCCTAGACCGGCCCGGAAGTGTCTGTGCGGTGGGACCGCGGACGCGCTGGCATCCTTCCCGCTGAGCCATTGTACCCGGGGCGCGCTCCTTCCAGCGCCGGGGCGGGAGCTCCCATTCCTCCTCGCCTTTTCCGGGTCTCGTGAGTTAGCCCGGGAACCGGGATGGGTGGGTGTGGCTGAGAAGGGGGTGTGGAAAGTGAACATCAGCCCCGAGAGGGCGGCGCCGAGGGAGGGGGCGGTGGTCGTGCCTGTGGTCCTAGTGTGGACGGGTCACCCCGGGCTGTGGGATGCGTCGGCGAGGCCTGGGGGGTGGGCTGAGAAGCCAAAAGGTCACCACGGTGAATAACTACAGCAGGGCTGGGACTCGGGGCAGGAAACGCCTGGAGTCTGGGGGAATATACTCGGGGACAAGGAAATTAAGGACACATTTATAAAAGGTTTTCTGCAGCCTTCCTCATAGAGAGCCAGTATGTATGTGTACATGCTCACCGGTTCAAAAAGCAAATGAAGGGGCGTTGAATGGACTGGTTTTCAAGTGCAGGATGTGACAGTTTCCCTCTCCCTTAGTTCATTGATTCTCAAACCTAGGAGTGCATACAAATCCCTGGGGAGCCTAGGGATTAAGGATACACAGTAGGGCTCCCTGATCTTCCCCTCCCACCCCTAATGCCGGGATTCCCATTCCCTAGAGGTCTGCCGCAGAGCCTGTCAAATTGGAATTCAGCTGCTGGGCTGTACTTACTGACCTTTAATTTTTAGTTGGGTAGGTAGTTAAGTTTATTTATTTATTTACTTTATCAGTGGAGGTAGTAGGGATTGAACCTAGGGCCTCCTGCATGCTAAGTGCACACTCTGTCACTGAGCTATACTCTCCCCCTTTGTTTGTTTGTTTTAAGTTTGTTTGTTTGTTTATTGCACTTCGTGACATTTTGGAGACACAGGCCTCCTGGGTCTCAGGCACTGCCTGGGTACGAACAGAAGTCTTCGTCCCTGGGCTTCTGTGGATTCTTGAGACTTTCTTCACAAAGAATTTGACCTTAAGCAACATACTTAACTTCCCCTGCCTTCCATTGCTTTTCTAGTGAAATAGTGATTGTAATCAAACCTCAGAGGTCAATTGTGAGGATTAAGACCCTCTTGGATCCACCAGCATGTTGTAGACCTTTGTGCAGTGTTGATTATAACTCTTAGGAAGCAGCAGAGCAGCGTGGAAAGCTGACAGGACTTGCAGGCTTCCTAAGTTTTCCTTTCTGTACATTTGTTGAAAATGAAATCAACCTTAGATGGTTGTTTTGAACATAAATTTCAAAAAGTCAAGTGTTCAATAAAAGCTCATTCGTTTAGTTAAAAAGAACAACATTTCCATTTATTCATTCTCTAATTTGGCTTTTATACAAGTCTGAACCTTTTAACCATTCTGAGTGATCTGTGTGGTCCCTAATTCCTCCATGAACCCTGTAAGGTATTACTGCTATTTCTTTTTCACATGAAAAAAACTGAGATTGAAAGAAGATAAACTGGCACAAGGTCACACAATTAATAAGAGTTAGAACCAAAATAAAACCTAGGTCTGGATAACTTGAAAGTCTATGCTTTTTGTACATTATGATCCTGTATTTTCCATTATTCTCATCCTTTGGTCATACTTTCCATGAAGAGCTTTAGGCCTATGACAATTGCTTATATTATCAGTTTCTATCATTAACTATTGCCATTTTTCTACATAAGCAATGATTTTTACTGCTTAGAAGGGAACTTCCAAAGCTGTTTCATTCATTCTTTCATTCATTTATTTATTTAAATTTTATTTTATTGAGTTATAGTCAGTTTACAATGTTGTATCAATTTCCAGTGTAGAGAACAATTTTTCAGTCATACATGAACATACATATA